CGTTCCAGGTTGACGGCGGGCCAGCGTTGCTCCCGCAGAACAGCATCGCACCAACTTCGCAGGTGCTCGTAGATGATTGGCGTGCGGAGCCTTGTCACCCACACAGCGCACACACCAAGTCAACCTGGCGCTGATGACTGCCTCTGATCAGCCACGTCGACCTCGGGATACCACCACTGAGGTCGGGCTCGCCAACTTCGCCTGGGCGACCATCGCGCTCCTCCGCAGAACCTCGTCACCCAAGTAACCTGGTCGACCGGGCAACCACGTCGACCAGCTGCTCCCGTACGTGCCCGTCGTCCTCCCAAGTCGACGACCACCTCCAGTCGACCTCACCAGGTCGACCACGCCCCTGGTCGACCAGCTCCAGGTTGACGTCACTCCTGGTCGACCAGATCCACGTCGACCAGCACTCCTGTCGGCACCCGTGCAGTGGCCCCCGTGCAGGTCGACCTCCTCGTCGACCAGCTCGCCCACTGCTGCAGGTCGGCTGCTCCCCTCACAACCGACCACGAAGTCGGCTCCGCCCAAGCGAGGACGGGGCCAACACACAACTCCCGTTGACAGTTGCGTGTGAAGGCTTCAATCTCAGCTTCCATGGCAGCACGCCATTCGGCAGCATGGAGACCCGTAAGAGCCTCTTGGACGGTGAGAGGGATAGGGATGGTCGGGTTCTCCGTGAAGTTGAGTGAGGGTGATTCAGTGATGTCGGGGAAGATGTGCGAGAGTTGGGGAATGACTGCGTGAAGATCACACAGCTCCTCATGCCTGTCTTCCAGAAGGGTAGAGGGCACATCCCCCCCAGCAGGAGGAGTCGGAGTGATCGCTGAGCAGCGAATAACCAGTGCCAGTGGAAGAGCAGGGCCATGCGAGCGAGTGCCATGAGCCACCGGAGAGGAGGGTGGAGCATGCGGTGTCGGAGGGGTTGATTTAGGAGACTTGGGCAGGGGAATTGGTCGTCGCTGGTACGTGATCACTTCGGGCAACTGGGGGGGAGCGGGTGCATGGGTGGAAGGGGGGACTGGTGGAGGAGGTGGGGCCGGAGGGTTCGACCGCCGATGGTATGTGATTGGTGCGCTCAGAGGGGCGGCGCAGTTGGCAGAGGGGGAGGTGAGGGGGATGGAGGAGCAACTGCCGAAGACACCGGTGAGGTCGGGTCAGAGACCTCAGAGGGGGACGGTGCGATGGCAGGAGAGGTAGGAGGGGAGGGGGCCGGTGCAGGCGGGAGTTCAGGAGGCGCATCAAAGTCTGCCCATACAAGAGAGGGCGGATCAGAGGGAGGATCCCGTCCCGAGGTGGAGTAGAATGGGCGGGTCTCATCAAAGACCACGTCGCGGGTCCGAACTAGTTGTTGAGTGAAGGGGTTGAGGAAGAGGTAGTCAGGGGAGCCTGCATTGTGCCCAAGGTAGACGCACGTTTCAGTATTGGGACCGAGTTTGCCACCGTGCTGCCGCCTAGCCTGAGGGTTGAGGAGGACATAGGCGGTGCACCCTCAGACGCGAAGAGAGCAAGCAGTGGGTGTTTTCCCGAGCCAGAGTGTGGTGGGAGTGGTGTCGGGAAGATGCGGGTGGGAGTAAAGGTTGTAGAGGAGGGCGGCATGGTAGAGGGCATACTCCCAGAGAGAGAGTGGAGCGTTGGAGTGGCTGAGGAGGCACCGAGTGATCTGCACCAGGGTGTGGTTGCGGCTCTCTGCTATGCCGTTCTGCTGCGGGCTGTCAGGAAGGGTGAAGTTTTGCTGGATGCCTTCTGAGGAGCAGAAGGCTTTGAGCTTGTCGTTGCAAAATTCACCACCCCCATCCGAGTGAAGAAGGTGGTCTGTGCCTGATTGACCCACGCCATGATGACATCTGGAACCTCAGCCTTGTTGTGGAGGAGGTGAACAGAGACGTAGCGGGAATGGTCATCAACGATAGCAAGGAAGTAGCGATGGCCACCTCGTGCGGGAACAGGGGCAGGGCCCCAGACGTCCATGTGCACTAGGTCCAGTGGTGCTGCTGCGACTGTGGGTGAGGCAGGGTGGGGCTGTTGGCGTAGCTTGCTCTTGGTGCAGTCAAGGCACGTGGGAGCGGGTGAGTCAAGTGGTGGAGGAAGTGAGGCTGGCAGGCCGAGAAGAAGTTTCTTGGAGGCCATGTCAGCAAGTGTGCGAAAGTTTGGGTGCCCGAGCCGATGGTGGTAGAGGATGGTCGGGTTGGAGAAGCTGCGGCATGAGCATGGTGTGATAGTAGCCTATGCTTGGGTGGTTGACACCTGTGGGATGGGTACGCGCAGTGTGTAGAGGCCGCTGTTATTGAGGGTGAAGCGAGCCAAGACCTTGTTGGTGAGTGGATCGATGATGTCGCAATAGTCCTCGTTCTCCGAGAAGATGGTGCGTAACCCCGCGTCCTGGATTTCCGTTTGAGCCACTAGATTGTGGCGTAGTGAAGGCACGCACATGCCAATGATAGTGCCGGATGGGAAGGTGGGGCACCGGACTGTGGATGTACCCTTGGCAATAGTAGTGAAGCTTGAATCAGCTCCTAAGAGAGGAATGGGTGTTGCGTAGGGTTTGAAGGAGAGTGTCTCCTTGAGCACAGTGTGAGTGGCCCCGCTGTCGAGTGTGAATTCTATGTATTGTGGTGCTTGTGATGAGCCGATGTACTGGGAGGTAGTTTCATTAATCATGGCAGTGCCAGGGAACAACAGGTTGATACGCACATCAGCGGGAGCAGTATCACTAGCACTAGCCGAAGCGGGGTCCTGGACCTCAACTAGGTTGGCCTTACGAGTGCGCATCCAGTTTGGCGGCTTCTTCTCTACTCCGTGGATGGCGTACCTTTCGTCGTCTTTCTTCTTGAAGCACGTAGCAAGGGGTTGGTTAGTGCCACCACACACTTGTCTCTGCGATTGCCATACTTGACGACGTAGGTGCACGGAGGGAAGCGGTTGCGCTGGAAGGGCGCCGAGGCGAGGGCCGATGCGACACTTGCTTGAGGCATCGGAGCACGGATGGCGTAGGCCTTGGCTTGAGCCGTGGAGTATTTCTCGGCAGAGAGGAGTGCGGTGGAGACCTTAGCAAAAGTGAGGTCTTCCGCTGACAGCGTGAGAAGCATTTTCCTCGTGACTTCATATGCCGAGGTGAGACCAACAAGAAGGGCGGCTGCAGGGGCTTGCTCGGGGAAGACTATACCCAGCTCCTTGAGTTCGCCATGGATGGTCTGCCCCTTGGCAATGTAGTCAGCCATTCCCGAGCAATCCTCAAGACGGACCTGGAACATGCTGGGGATGAGGATGGCAACTCCGACCGCCGTCTTGTTCATGAACCGATCCTGGAGGTACTTCCAGATGGCGTTAGAGGTGGGGTGGTTGCGGAACGTGTTGACAAGTTCGGGAGGGGTGGAGGCGATGAAGACACTGATGATAGCAGCATCGGCCTTCTCCCATTTCCGGTACTTTTCAACGGTTTCCTCATACGCCCTCATGTCAGCATCACTAGTGGATTCGGCCGGCTCACTGGGGAGAAAGGGCTGTTTTCCCTTGCCACGGTTGAGGAGGACGTCCTTGAGGTCCAATCCTTGCACGTCACGACTCAGGATGTGCTTGTCAACCCCATAGCTCCATGCCTTGAAGTTGGAGCTAGAGCCATCGGCTTTAAGGTGGAGTGGGGTGATGGGGCTGGCAATGGTGGACAAGGTGAAGGCCATGGGGAAGCTCCCTTAGTGTCTCGCGCGAAGCGCCGCTCTAAGTCACCGATAGGAACGAGCGGCGCGCAGCGCGACGATTTTGAAATTTGACGGGCCCGCAGAGCAGAAGTCGTCGATGTCGGCCGAGTCAGGATGCCCCGTAGAAGGATTTTTCAGGCCGCCGAGATTAGGTTAAATCGGCCGATTTCCGTAAAAACTAACCCTATTCGCACACACCCCCCCACATATCACCCTCAGCTTCGCGACTACACTGCTTCTCGGCTTCGCAGCTGCGCTGCTGCTCGGCTGCGCTGCGCACCTGTTCAGCTGCGGGAAAGGGAGGGGGGAACGGGGGTAGAAGTGCTGATGCGGGGCGAAGGTGACGCTGCAGGGCGACGGGCGGCAGCCCGATGAGAAGCTGCGGGGCGACGGGCGGCGGCCCGACGAGAAGTTGCGGGGCGACGGGCGGCGGCCCGACGAGAAGTTGCGAGGCGACGGGCGGCGGCCCAACGAGAAGAACTTGTGCGAAGATGTTCGACGAGGAATAAAGAACACACGAGTGGTTAAAGCGCCAACGATGCGCTTACCGGAGAGGGTGTAGAAGTTGTCGAGAGTGAAGGGGGAAGTGACGCGGGAGAATTTTCGGCCACGAATGTCGCGAATCACCGGCGACAGGATTGAGGGCGTCTACGACGGCGTTTGCGGAATGAGCATCCGTCGAGAGAATAGGATCACGATACGCATGTGCGGTTGAAGAGCTCTGATACTATGTCACAACTTAGGCTTAGAACTGATACATTAGTAATGAGCTTGAACCTTTTTAAGTACATCCAAGATGGGCAAGGAATGGATGGGAAAGGGAATCCTGGGCAATCCCTAGGGATTGGGGGTAATCCCAAGGCAATCTCCAATTGGTGGGTTGGAGATTGTTTGGAGATTACATTTGGGTTTGGTTGGGATGTAGGTGTACACCCAACCAAACACAAAGTGCAAACTACACTACTCTAGAATATAGAAAATATAAAGTACTATGTGTGAGATTGAGGAATAACACTAACATCTGCTATACACACATTTATTACCGCCCCATGTCCCTTCCTTGGCAGTGTCATCTCTGTCGACGGGTGCCATAGTGGGCATTGTTCTGGGCTGCTTTGCTGGCTTCACTCTGCTGGCTTTGGTGCTCGCATGGCTGCTGTGGCCCCGCGGACCAAGTGAGCCCCTCGTCCCTTTTCAGTTACATTCCATCTCCCCAATTCCGCCACCTATTTCCTGGCTTCCTTCCCCGCTCCCCACCTCTCCCAAATCCGTGCACAATAAATCTACCTCTCCACTGCCCTCATGCTCTCTCCACTCATCTACACCCCGTATTGTGCGTGCACAGAGAAGTGGGAGGGTTTGGACGTGTGTGAGCAGTTCTCGCTGCAGCAGATGCTGACTACCACCAACAACTGGTCGGAGGACAATGTGCTGGGCAAGGGAGGCTTTGGCATTGTGTACAAAGGCCTCTCGCCACAGGGCCAGTTGTGGGTCATCAAGCGCTCCACCATTATGACCAACGACTTTGAAACGGAGGTCAGGCATGCCTCTGTGCACAAGAAAAGACGTCACGAGACGACACGGCACACTCTGCTTCCCAAAATGTTGATCTGGTTCCATGTGTGTCGAGCCATGACCTCTCTTCACAACAAGAGAATACACGGCACTCTCTGCTTTCCAAAATGCTGACTCTGCTAATGCATGTCTCACTTTTTCATGCCCATGTGTATCTGCCTGCTTGTTGCAGGTGCGAGCCATGGCCTCTCTCCACCACACACACCTCGTGCGCCTGTTGGGCTTCTGCCTGGATCAGAACGTGGAGACGGGCAAGCAGGAGCAGATCCTCGTGTACGAGTTCATGGCCAACAGGGACCTCGAGTACCATATCCACAGGACCAAGCGTGAGTTGCACTAGCACAATTGTAGAACGGCATTTGTTGTTTGTTTCATTTGTTTTTTGTTTTTTTCTGCAAAGGACATGACACCACCACTCATGAAATCATGTGTTCTGCTTGGCATACATGTTTCATGGCCCAGGTCCACTCTCGCTGCGCCAGAGGTTGTGCCTGGCATAGGGAGCAGCAGAGGGCCTGGCATACCTGCATGGATTTGAGACCCCCATCGTTCACCGCGACATCAAGCCCGCCAACATCCTTGTGTCGGCCGACATGCAAGCCAAGGTGGCTGACTTTGGGCTGCTCAAGCGCCTCACTCACGGCGATGCTGATGCCACGCGAGTGGCCGGCACTCCGGGCTATGTAGACCCGGACTATGTCCGCACCCACGTCATCACTGTCAAGAGTGATGTGTACAGGTGCGGGTATTGTTCTTTTGCAAAACGCGATTGTTTGTTTGTTTGTTTGTTGTTTCTCAGGTTATGTTGATTGCCCGTACCCTCCATTGCTATCTCTACCCCTGCTCCATGTTTGCTTGCAGCTTTGGAATCGTGCTTCTTCAAATGCTGAGTGGAAAGACTCCCCATGTCAACGCAAAAACACATATAGGCAAATGGGTAAGTATGAAATGCTCCTGCAAAAAAAAACAAAACAAAACAAAACAAAACGAAAATAAGAGAGAGGATGCCCACTAAGTCTCATATTCGCCTCAATCTTTTGTGGCTGCACGGTTATTCTCTTAAATCATGTTTATCCTGGATTCTACTGCCTTCCCCTGTTGTGATGCTTCCTTTAGTCTCCGTTGTTGCTTTTCATGCTGCTTCTCATGTTGCTTTCCTCTCTCATTTATCATCCTTTCTTGCATAATAGCCCAGCAGGCAATCACTTACCTTTTCCCTCCACCGCACTGCATATGTTCCCACGCCTCACTGCCTCGCATGGACACCCTGCAGGCAGTCAAGTTGGTGGAGACGTATGACATGGAGGAGCTGAGGGACAGCAAGATGCCGACAGTAAATGAGGAGGCCATAGTGGACTTTGCTGACCTGGCTCTAGACTGCATCAAGTCACCCGGCACACGGCGACCCACCATGAAGGATGTGGCATACCGCCTCAGTGCCCTTATTGACAAGCACTGCCCCAACGAGGACGATGAGTGGGAGAATGTTGTGACAGAAGAAGGGACAAGCAACCAAGGGATGCCTTCTGAGTTGTCTGGAGATGGAGGGAGGGAGCCTGAGAGGTCTCATGGCTCACAGTCTGGTGTGATCTCATTCACGGATACTTTCTCGATGACTGATAGCCTCAAGAGCTGGCTGCAATTGAAGCCAGCCAAAGAGCGTTGAGTTTGCCCATAATGACTGCATGTTGGCTGCTTAGCATGGAGGAACTAGATTTCTGGGTATAGGTACACTAATAAAAAAGGATCTGGTGGCTACTCGTCATGCACCAGTATGAATGGCCGGCCTGATATTGTATCAGTTGTGAGGCAGGAGACACATGTCCATGAATCTGGGATCTGGAAGCAAGAATGGCATGAGATGAGTGAGCAGAGCTTTGTGTTATACATGGGAGGCATACTACACTGAAAGCCATTGGCACTTGCATTACATCGATGTGCATACTCGTTGGCTACCCACAAGGCTGCCATTCACGATGGTGGATGAACAGAAACAACCTGGCATAGATTGCAGGAAACGTGAGTGAGCAGAGCGGGGAGCCGCATAAGTCTGGAATGAAATGTATGCCAAGCCGTGTAGCAAGAGGTTTGCCCCACAAGCAGCCCACAATGGCAGTGTTGCCACGCCACCATTGCTCTTGTCATCCTTATCAGTTGTCATCGTCATGTCATGTAATCATGCCCGCCACTATCAGTTGTCTTTTGAGACGTTTCAAAAACCAACTTTTGGGACGTCTCAAAAACCACCATCGCTGTTGTCGGTGTCATGCCACGTCGTCATGCCCGCCACTGTCAGTTGTCCAGCACCAGAATCTCTGCGTTGTGCCCTCTGTGAACAGACGAAGCAGCAGCACAAGGGAAGTGGAAGAGTGGGAGCAGGGCAAGGACGGGATGAAAGACAGCAGCAACAGAGCACACAGCGGCAGAGCACACAGCGGCAGAGCACACAGCAGCAGAGCTCACAGCAGCAGAGCTCACAGCAGCAGAGCACACAGCAGCAGAGCACACAGCGGCAGAGCACACAGCAGCAGAGCTCACAGCAGCAGAGCTCACAGCAGCAGAGCACACAGCAGCAGAGCACACAGCAGCAGAGCACACACCAGCAGAGCACACAGAAGCAGAGCACACAGCAGCAGAGCTCACAAGAGCAGAGCACACAGAGCACATAGGTCCTGCCCACATGCACGAGCAGCTTGCCATTAGACACGTTCACAACCAGCCCTGCACTACTCACAATGCATGCGTGCGCATCAGCAGGTCCCCCTCTGTGCGGACCTGCTGTTGTGCCCTCATCCCCCGAGCGCATCGCGTCACTACCTGCTGTTGTGCCCTCATCCCCCTCTCTTGCCTCGTGTCAGTCCGTGAGTATTGCGTGGGAGGTGGTAGGAAAACCAATCCCGCATCATGTTTCGCACATACTCTCATCAGTTCCCTCTCCTCTCTCTCCTCCTTCTGCTCCCTCTGCTCCTGCTGCTCTTGTGCCCGCCTCTTCTGCCTCGGATCGTCGCATGGGTGGCACCGCCGCTGCTTCCAATTCCAAATCTTGTTTCATGCACGCACCCTTCTGCTCCACGTGCTCCCCCTGCTCCCTTTGCTATTTCTGCTCCCTCGCCCGCCTATCCTGCCTCGTGTCTGTGCGGGATCGTCGCATTGGAGGAGGTACAGGCGCTGGCTATGTGACTGCATGCTCTCTCGCTCCCTGCATCACCCCCATCCTCTCTCTCCCTCTCGTATCCGGCATCGCATTTGGACCCAACCCCAGCAACCCCATTCCCATGCTTAAGCTCCTTTCCATCCCTCCTCTACTCCCCACACTAAGCCCAATGCTCACCACCCCTCTTTCCAGCTCCAAACACATATCCACCCGATCCAACCCGATCCCCACTCCCAATCCAATTGTTTTCTCACAGAGGTCCTCCAGCCTCCTTGACTCCCCTCTTCCGGGCATCTTCACCATCCAAGCACCCCCCTCCTCCCACTCGCCCTCCCTCACTCTCACCTCCCTCACTCCCGTCTCCCCAGCCACTGCCAACAACTCTTGCTCTTCCTCCTCCTCCCTCCTCCTCCTCTCTCTCTCTCCAGCTGCTGTTCTAGCTCCCTCAGCCTCGCCTCCTCCTCCAAGACTGCCACGTAGCCTGGTGCCTGTAGCTGCTGAAGGGCGGGTGGTATACCACCGTGCTCGCTTTGAGGCCCACTGCTCCCTTCCCTCCTAGCCCCGCAGCCTCTGCTGCTCTCCCTGCTCTTTCTTTCCCAGTTGCAGCAGCACCACCACCACCACCACCACCGCTATTGGCACCAACAGCGCCAGCACCATTGGCAGCCGCTGCAGCAGCAGCAGCACTAGCACCACCACCGTTTGCAGCAATCGCAGCAGCGGCAGCAGCAGCAGCCGCAGAGGCAGGGCAACCCGAGGGAGGGCGGCAGGCGGGGAGATGGCGGGAGGCGGAGAGACGGCGGGAGGCGGGACAAAGAGCATGCTGCAACGCGCGAGGATGGGTGATAGGGGAGGGCTGCCGGGGATACAGAGGGCAAAGTGCAGTTCTCCGTGCGCGCGTCGTTGTTAGGACTCTGGGGGGTGGGTGGGGGTTCCACTGGTTGCGACCGCCCTCTGTTCACCCTGCTAGTCACCCCCTGCCCACTGCGCTGCCTGTGCTCTTTCGCCTGCCGCCCTTGGGGAAGCAGATGCGCAGCGAGGAATGGCGAACGCGGCGGCAAGCACGAAAGGAAGTACTAACAGATGAGGGAGTGGATGGGGATGACTTGGGAGCGGTAGGGGGTGACTAGGATTGGTTTGAAGAGGCGGAGGAGGGCGTGTCGTGCCTTCAGAGTCAGACGGTGGCGAGCACGGCAGAAACGGAGAATGGGAGAGGCTGCAAAGCTGTGTGGAAGCATCTGTCCGCCAAGCCAGCAGGGCGGCCGTTGGCCACACTGCAGCGCAGACTTTCGGCGCGCAGGCAGAAAGGATAGGCGATGGCAGTAATGGCAGTACCGGCAGAGGCAGCGGCAGCAGCAGCAGAGAGGGTGAGCGACCCGTGCTGCTGGGCTGCGAGGGCTTGCGGGGGAGCAACCGCGTGCGCGCGTTCGACCCTACCAAGTACGAGATGACAGCAACAGCCGTCGCTGCAGCAGCTGCAGCAGCAACAGACGCAGCCAAAGCTGTGCCTGAGAGCAACTACGAGGTAACACCCATGCCTGGAAGCTATAGAAGTGCAGTGGAAGGCCGTCGCGGAGGGGCAGAGGGAGGGGCGACGGAAGGCCGTCGCGAGGCCAAGGGCGATGACGCTGTGGTGACGTCAGCAGCACTGGGAAAGAGCCAGCCCGTGGCAGCGGCGTGGTGGCAATTTGGCGGGCCTGATAAGGTAACCAGCAGCGGCAGGAAGGGCGGCAGGCGGAAGAGCACAGGCAGCGCAGTGGGCAGGGGGGTGACTAGCAGGGAAAACAGGGGGCAGTCGCGACCAGTGGAACCCCCACCCACCCCCCAAGAGTCCTGACAACAACGCGCACACGGAGAACTGCACTTTGCCCTCGGTCCCCGGCAGCCCTCCCCTATCACCCGTCCTCGCGCGTTGCAGCATGCTCTTCATCCCACCTCCCGCCATCTCCCCGCCTCCCGCCATCTCCCTGCCTGCCGCCGTCTTTTGGGTTGAGAAGACAGCAATCTGCTGCTGCGGCACTGGCCTCTGCTGCCCCTTGTGTGTTGTATGCGGCTCAGAGGCAGAGTGAGAGGCAGGTTTACTTGACTGCAGGAGCAGGCAAGGAGGGCAGGGGAGCGCATGAGGAGCGCAGGCGCCCAGTGGTGGTATACCAGAAGAGCAGCAGCACTGGCAGCGGCAGCGGGGGAGGAGGCACCAGTGGCACCAGCGCCAGCAAGGCCACCAGCTGCGGCAGTGGCAGTGGCAGCAGCAATATGCCGAGCAGCCAAAGTGGCAGTGCTGCTGCCCAGCCCAAGCGCTAGCGTGACCTACCACCCTGGCGGCAACACAAAGACTAGCCTAGCCACGGTTGGGAGCAGCAGCAACAGCAGCAGCAGCGGAAGCAGCAGCAACAACAACAGCAACAGCAGTACCCACTGCCGCACCTCGCCTTCATCCTCAACTTCTCGCCCCTCTCCCCGCTCCCTTTGTCAGCACCACCACCACCAGCGTCCCTCGTCCCTCTCCCGTCGCCCCCGTTCCTCGCCCGTCGCCCCTTGCTCTCACTCTCTTTCTCTGCCTCAGCTTCACCGTCAGCCTTGGCCAAGCCTAGGCCTCTGAGCCGTGCCAACTCCGCTGCCCTGGCGCTGCTGCACCCGCAGCCCATCTTGCTAGCCAGTGGGAAGCGATTCAGCACCCACTGCCCTGCTGCTGCGGCTGCTGCTGCCGCCGCCGCTGCGGTTGCTGCAAACGGCGGTGGTGCTAGTGGTGCTGCTGCAGCAGCGGCTGCCAATGGTGCTGGCGCTGTCACTGCTCCCAATAATGGTGGTGCTGCTGCGACTGGGAAAGCAAGAGCAATGAGAGCAACTGAGGCGGCAGCGACAGCAGGAGGAAAGGGAGCAATGGGCCTCAAAGCGAGCGAGGTGGTATACCACCCGCCCTTCAGCAGCTACAGGCACCAGGCTGACGTGGCAGCCCAGGAGGAGGAGGCGAGTCTGAGGGAGCTGGAGCAGCAGCTGGAGAGGGAGAGGAGGAGGAGGGAGGAGGAGGATGAGGAAGACTTGTTGACAGTGGCTGGTGAGAGGGGAGTGAGGGAGGTGAGAGTGAGGGAGGGCGAGTGGGAGGAGGGAGGTGCTTGGATGGTGAAGATGCCCGGAAGGGGAGAGTCGAGGAGGCTGGAGGAACTCTGTGAGAAAGTGGTTGGAATGAGTGCTGCTGGGGTGGGGATGGGGTTGGATGGGGTGGAGATGTGTTTGGAGTTGGAAAGAGGGGTGGTGAGCATTGGGCCTAGTGTGGGGGGTAGATGAGGGATGGGAAGGAGCTTGAGCATGGGAATGGGGTTGAGTCCAGAAGCGATGCCGGACGCGAGAGGGAGGGAGCGGATGGGGGTGATGCAGGGAGGGAGAGAGCATGCAGTCACATCACCAGCACCTGTACCTCCTCCCATGCGATGGTCCCGGACAGACACGAGGCAGGAGAGGCGGGCGAGGAAGCAGCAGGAGCAGATGGAGCAGCAGGAGCAGATAGGTGCGTGTGTGAAACAAGATGTGGGAATGGAAGCAGCAGCGGCGCCACCCATGCGACGGCCCCGCACTGACACGAGGCAGGAGAGGCAGGCAAGAAAGCAGCAGGAGCAGAGGGAGCAGTTGGAGTAGATGGGTGTATGTATGAAACAGGATGTTGGACTGGTTCCCGTGCCACCTCCCATGCGACGGTCACGGACTGACACGCGACAGGAGAGGGGGATGAGGGCAGGGCAGCAGGCAATGACACCAGCAGTGAGGGGAGGTGGCAGAAGAAGCAAAGGGTGCAGCAGAGAGGAAGCAGGCAGCGGGCGGGTGTTGCGGCGAGGCAGCACACAGCCGAGCCGGCGCTTGGAGCAACGGGAGGGGGTGTCTCGGCGCAGAGAGGGAGACCTGCTCATCCGCACGCATGCTCTGTGAGTCCCGTGGGTGGAGGGGTGGGAAGGTGAGGGGAGGGGTGGTTGTGATTGTGTCTACTGGCAAGTTGCTGAAGCATGTATGGCAGGAGGTGTGCTCTGCTGTTGATGTCGTCTCATCCCTTCTTTGCCGCTCTCTCTTTTTGTCTGTCCCTTGCACTGCTGCTGCTGCTGCTGCTGCTGTGTGTGTGCAGAGGGCAAGACGCGGCGATTCTGGTGCTAGACAGCTGACAGTGGCGATGGGCACAACACAACGGCAGAACATGTGATGGCAACTGATAAGGATGATGGCAACGCTGATTACAAACTGACAATGATGGCACTGCCATCCTGGGCTGTGTATGGTGTCAGAACTATACTCGAGGCTGTAGTGGGGCACTCCTTATGGGGTACAGCCCTGATAGGTTTTGCCTATACAAACCTTGTACTGTTCTCTTTCTAGTCATCATTCCTTGTTCTAACTTTCACATAGTTTCAGAGCAGGTTCCCTAGTGGGAACGTTTTTTTTAGGGCCCACCACGAACTTTTTTTTTCTGCCCGGCCCGAAGCGCACTGCCATGCCTGCCTGCCCCGTCACGCGCCCTCGAGCACCTGCCCTGCCCGCGCCCTCGAGCGCCTGCCCTACCCGCGCCCTCGAGCGCCTGCCCGTTGCCCTGCCCTGCAGGCCGCGCGCGGGCCTGCCCTGCACCCGCGACGCCGCCCTTGGACCCCGCGGCGCCGCCCCTGGACCCCGCGACGCCGCCCCTGGACCCCGCGACACCGCCCCTGGATCCCGCGACGCCGCCCCTAGACCCCGCGACGCTGCCCCTGGACCCCGCGACGCCCCTGAGGGACCCGGGCGTCGCCCCTGCTCATCGCGACGCCCCCGAGGGACCCTCGCGGCGCCGCTCCTGCTCGTCGCGACGCCCCTGCGGGACCCGTGCGGCGCCGCTCCTGCTTGTCGCGACGGCCCTGCGGGACCCGCGCGGCGTCGCCCCTGCTCGTCGCGGCGCCCCCTGGGCGCCGTCCCTGCTCGTCGCGGCGCCCCCCTCCTGGCCGCCGCCCCTGCCTCACCTGAGCCCGCCTGCGCCCTGCCGCCGTCGCTCTTGCAGCAGCCGTCGCGGCCCCGCCGTAGCCGCCGTTGCGCCTGCAGCCGCCGTCGCGGCCCTACCCCGCCGTAGCCGCCGTCGCGCCTGCAGCCGCCGTCGCAGCCTCGGGGAAGCCGCCGTCGCGGCCCCGCAGCAGCCGCCCGTCGAGCGCCTGCAGCCACCCATCGAGCGCCGGCCCTGCCCTACCCGCGCCTGTTGCGTGCTTGCCCACCGCCTCTGGTAAGCACCTGCCCTACCCGCACTACCTACCTTACCAGCGCCTGTTGCGTGCACCTACCTTACCAGCGCGCTGCCGCGCGTGCCGCGCCTGCCTGCCCACCGAGCCGCGCCGCCCAGCCGAGCCGCGTCGCTCTGCCGAGCCGCGCCACTCTGCCAAACCGCGCCGCCCTGCCCTACTGAGCCGCGCTGCTCTGCATTGCTACTACTCCTGCTACTGTTGCTACTGACGGATACAAGATGCAGCTCCAACGACGTCCGCGCAAGTCCCTCACGCCCCACCAGCTTCGTGAGTGGTACGCTAGTTGGGGTTGTAGTGGCGGCCGTAGTGGAAGTCGCCCTGGAACTGGTCGGTCGGGAGCTTCTGGCAGTGGCCAGCTGCAGCTGCAGCGGCGTCCGCGCAAGACCCTTCCGCCCCAGCAGCTTCGTGAGTGGTACGCTCAGAGTAGAGGGTCTCGGAGTACCGTTCGCTGCCAGTACGTCATTCGCACAGGTGATCGCGCTGGTCAGACTTGCGGGACGATTAGTCATACACAGTCCCGCTACTTTGCCTGTATGAGCGACGCCTGGCGTACCGTGTTTGGCGACGAGGCTGAGGCCCCCACCTGGCTAGAGCTGCTTAGGCAGAGGGTGGATGCCTTGACTATGATGCTATCCTCACTGCCATGTATGCATTGCCTACTAGTGCTGCGGATGCCTGTTACCTGTGTGTACCGCCTGACATAGGTATAGAGTCTGCTGCTCTAGGTGCTGCTGCCTGTCGTCTAGACTACGCCGCTAGTCTTGTTGCTGAGTCTGAGTCTGTCTGTCCTCCGTCCGTCGGGGGTGAATGTGCTCTTGGCACGGACGTCCTTGAGGACAGGCAGGAGGAGTTCCAGTATTTTGCTGCTGCTTTACCTCATCTCGTGTCCATGCTGCTTGCCCCTGAGGGAGACCCGGATGCACCAGACATCCCGACCCCGCGCTCTTACGCAGAGGCGATAGAGGGTCCCTACTCCTCTTAGTGGTAGACAGCTATGGACGCAGAGATGGCTTCCTGGAAGTCCACAGGCACTTACGTTGACGAGGTTCCCCCACCTGGGGCGAACATTGTCGATGGCATGTGGATTTTCAGGGTGAAGCGGCCGCCGGGTTCTCCGCCTGTCTTCAAGGCGCGTTACGTTGCTCGAGGCTTCAGTCAGCGACAGGGAGTTGACTACTTTCAGACCTTCTCCCCCACCCCGAAGATGACCACTCTTCGAGTGCTGCTGCACGTCGCCGCTCAGCGTGACTACGAGCTTCACTCTCTTGACTTCAGCACAGCCTTCCTACAGGGCAGCCTGCACTGTTGTACAAACTGCGGAGATAACTTCAGCAACGGAAGCTAGACTACAGGCTAGGCACGGGTGCTCGTGTGATCTTTGCGTTCGTTCCTTAGTTGTTCACTAGCACTTGTGCATTCACGGGGCAAAACCGCAAGAGTTTCACTAGCAAAAGTTGAGAACAAGGATTCAGAATGATAGCAACAAAGTTGGCATGCAAGGCTACATCAGACCTAGCAAAGCTGCTGGTCGACTTCCAGCACGGTCGACCGCGTTGTCAAACTATAATTCTATAGTTTGTGTAGTTCTGGCTACGCCGCCCACCTGGCTTCACTGGGTCGTTTCCTCCTGGTACCCAGTGGAGCCTCCGGCGGCCAGTTTACGGTCTCCGCCAGGCGCCCCGTGAGTGGCACGACACACTGAGGACTACGCTTGCGGCTCTTGGGTTTGCTCCTTCCACTGCTGACCCGTCGCTGTTTCTACGCACCGACACTACTCTGCCGCCGTTCTACATCCTCATGTACGTTGACGACTTGGTCTTTGCTATTGCTGACACTGCTGGACTGGCCCACGTGAAGTCGGAGCTGTAGAAGAGACACACGTGCACAGACCTGGGTGAGCTGCGCAGCTATCTTGGCTTGCAGATCACCCAGGACAGCACGGCGCACCATTACCTTGACTCAGTCACAAATGGTGCAACAGGTCCTTCAACGCTTCAACTTCACGTACTCCTCGCCTCAGGCCACTCCTCTGTCTACTCGCCACTCGCTCTCAGCTCTGCCTTCGGATGAGTCTGTAGAGCCGAGTGCCCAGAGCTTGTGGGCTGCGTCATGTACCTGATGACCTGCACTCGACCTGACCTGGCATACCCTCTTAGCATCCTAGCACGCTATGTTGCTCCTGGGAGACACCGACCAGAGCACATGGTGTCAACGGGAGTGTTGTGTGGCCCCGTCCCCGCTTGGGCGGAGCCAACCTTGTGGTCGGATGTGCGGGGGATGCAGCCGACCTACGGCAGTGGGCACGGGGGCCGCTGCAAGGGCGCCGAGCTGGAGGGCGCCTGGCGGGAGGGCGCCGAGCAGGAGGACGTCGTTCTGGACGCCTGGACGGCGTCCTGGGAAGCTGGACGCCGACCTGGGCGTCGCCACGACTACCCGGGCACCTGGTCGACGTCGTGGACGCCTGCACGGCGTCCTGGGGGCCCGGACGCCGACCTGGGCGTCTTGTCGGCGTCCTGGGAGGCTGGACGCTGCTCTGGAGGTCTGCATGGCGTCCTGGGCGTCTGGACGCCGACCTGAGGGTTCGAACGGTGTCCTGGGCGCCTGGACGCCGGACTGGGGACGCCGGCCATGTGTGGCCGGCTACGGACTGAACTGGTCGACCAGGCGTGGTTGCCCGGTCGACCGGGATACCCGGGCGACATGCGCGAGTGTCGTCGGGGTGGAGTCTGCGAGGCCGACCTCGGGGGTGGTATCCCGAGGTCGACGTGGCTGGTGGGCGCAGTCGCTGGCGTGGAGTCTACCAGGCGTCTGCGCTGTGCTCGTGACAACGTATGGAGCGCCAACCAGCTGCGTGCACCTGCGAAGCAGGTGCACCGTTGTCCTGCGGGTGCAACGCTGTGCAACTGACTTGCTGCAGCGTTGGCACGCCATGGACTTGCAACGTTGGCGCACCGCTACTCTGCAACGCTGGAGCGGTGCGAGCGCTGCTGCGCTGGAGCGCGGTCGACCATGCTGCGCTGGAGGTCGACCAGCAGCCTAGCTAGCTCTGATGTAGTCTGTGTTGCCAATGTTGTTGTAACCATTGTTGTCAACTTGCTCTAGTGAAACTCTTGCCAATTCGCCCCGTGAACTAGCAAGCAGTGTGTGTACTAGGAAGACGACTAAGGACCAAGGAACGCAGAGATCACACGAGCACCCGTGCCTAGCCCGTAGTATAGCTCCCGTTGCTGCAGTTATCTCCGCATGGTGCGGTGAGCGTGGACGACACCGCGACGTAGTTCAGTCTAGCCAACCTTACACTTACCGATCGTGTTCGTAGGCCAGCAGCCGTGCAGTCACTAGCTTGCGCGTAGGCGACGCCGAGGTGATGGAAACCCTGGAGGCACAGCT